GCAGATGTTCTGGTGGTCAACGTGTCGAGTCCGAATACCCCTGGTCTTCGGTACGTTACTCGTGGAATGGTGTTCTATCGGGCGTGTTCACTGTGACCCCAACATGACCCTAGTGGACTACAAAACCGTGAACTTTTGGAAAGTTTGCTGAAGGATGTGGTGGAGGCTCGGAATGCCCTCAAGCCGTCGCCAATTACCTCACGTCGACCGCGTTTGGTGCTCAAGGTCGCCCCTGACCTTGAAGAACCTCAGCTTGCGGAGATGGCCGAGGTCATACGGAACAGCAATATTGATGGCGTCATCGTCAGCAACACCACTGTTGCTCGGCCATCCTCGTTGATAGATCGTAAGTGACTAATCCTCAGGTGTGGCGTACTTGCGTTACTTATGCCGTGCTCGGGCCTATCGCAGAAAACAAGGCCGAGACAGGTGGCTTATCTGGTAGACCCCTAAAACCTTACACCCTCCGTGCCTTGAAGACGCTTCGAGCTCATCTCCCTGCATCTATTCCTATCATTGGTTGCGGAGGCATTAGCTCTGGCGCGGATGCCCTGGAGTACGGACGCGCAGGTGCATCGTTCGTCCAGCTCTACACGGAGTTCGGGTATGATGGTGTAGGCACATGTCGACGAATAAAAGATGAGCTTGCGTCGTTGCTCAAGAGGGAGGGAAAGACTTGGAGAGATGTGGTTAACGAATCGACGGCGAGCTTGAGCTGGAAGGGGCCACCTACTCCTTTACCAGCACCAGTCCGGGAAGGAGAGGCGACGATAGGGAAGCTGGTAGAGGAAGCCAAGATGCTCCTATCACTTGTGGATCAACTAGGCAAGAAGATGAGCGGGAGCACAGAGTCCTAGCAGTACGCATACGGCTAGCCTACGCCTGGTATCAGAGTTATTGCTAGATACTCCTGACGTCAAAAAGGCTATTGCACCCCTGTCCCCAAGCTGATATGTAAGCCACGAATATTTTCCGTATTCCTTCACAGCCAGCACGCCATTGACGCCGCTGATGAGCTCAGAAAGCGCGTGCGGAAGTTAGTTATGTACATATACATATCATAACTGTTCCACCCTGTTCCGATTCCCCTTCGTAATTGATGCCGGTGAGGTCTCGATAAACATGATGTTCGACTTTCAATGGCTGGCATGTTCACTCCTGGGCTCTTTACTCTTTCGACTGCTACCACTAGAGTGCTTGCCGCCACATGGCTTTGAGCAAGATGCCGTCAAGTCAATCGCTATCGTTGGCGCAGGAAGCGCTGGCCTCGCTATGTTGAAAACGCTGTTGGATTTGCCAGTCGAGATACGTGCGCACTGGGATATAGTTCTATACGAGCAGCGGAGGGACGTCGGAGGAGTATGGTGCGGTCCAATCTTGCTTGTTATTTCCCCTCCTTACACCAAATATTCAATCGATGCACTGGACACTGGATAGGTTACCCGATCCGTCGCCCGCCCTTCCACCTGAACTACCCGAAACACCATTGTATCCTCGGTTGCATACCACCACACCTGTCCCTACCATGACTTACCCTGGCACTCCCTTCCCGCCCGGCACGCCCCTTTACCCCCCGCACGAATACATAGAACAGTATCACCGGGATTACGCGACACGCCATGGTCTCTGGCCATATATCAAACTAAACCATACCGTGCTGTCATCTTCTTGGATAGGAACGTCGAAGACCGGACATTGGGAGATCGTCGTTGAAGACCATAACGGTGACCGGATACGAAGATCATTCGACCATCTCGTCGTTGCGAATGGACATAACCACGAGCCGCATATAGTGGTGTTCGCTGGACAAGAAACGTGGTTAGAGAACGCTAAGCGTGGTCAGCAGCGCGAGATCCTGCATTCGATATGGTACCGCGACCCCAGTCAGTACGTTAACCAAACCGTCGTAGTGGTCGGTGGAGGAGCAAGCGGAGCCGACATTGCAACTCAGGTGTTGCAGTACGCCCATAAGGTAAGTCCCGTTACTGTGAATAGTTTGTCGGGCGATGCCTGATGCGGGATTCGTTTCTTTCTTGGTAAAGGTTTACTTTTCCGTTCGTAGTCCGCCGCGGCACGAACCAGCGGGACCTGTGGAAAGGAAGCCCGGAATTTCACATTTTACGTCGGATGAGGTCGTCTTTACAGACGGATCGACGGCGCAAGATGTTAATACAATCATACTGGGTACTGGCTACGATTTACGCGTGCCCTTCCTAGAAGAAGGCGGGGAGGTGGCCGTGAAACCAGGGTCTAACGAGACGGACAAACATAGGCTTACCACGAACTTGCGTTATCTATTTCCGCTGCATAGACATATATTTTCGCTGGCGACGTCTTACCCGACCAACGCACTGGCTTTCATCGGCCTCCCGATATTGCTCTCAAACTGCCTCTCGGATACAGCGCAGAGCATCTATGCGACCTCGATCATTGCGAATAGCAGTTTGCTTGCGCCCCGAGCCGAACTACTGAGGGAACTTGCAGACAACGAGGAAGACCTTCGGAGGAGAGGGCACAATCCTTATTACATCGGACATAGGATGGTCGACCGCTCCGGGTTCGATTATCAGGATGGCCTCATCGAGGCCCTGCGATCGAAGGGCGGATTGCCAGAGAAGAATACCAGTTTCGTCGAGGCCTGGAGAAGAGAAATCTTCGTCCATGTTGGGAGTCTGAAGCGCGGCTGGAAAAGGCTAGAGGCACTTGGACAAGCGCAAGAATGGCTAGAAGGCGTTGAGAGTGAAGAAGATTGGTTTCAACTTATGAAACGAGTGAGCGCATGGCAGGAGGACTGGGAAAAGAAACACCAGCTGGTATTTTCAGAAGACACGCTCATATATTGATCCGAGAGCTGTTGCTAGATGGCATCAGCGAGACCATGCCAAATCATAGTATGTATATGCCTCCTACGGTTTTTCAACTCTTTGGAGTGCTCGGCAAGTGCTACTACTATGTAAACGTCAAACGTTAAGAAGGCAACTTCAACCTTACTGTTGACCATGCTCATCAAGAAGGCTGTTGTTCTCGGTTGCCCGACTCGCTCGTTTTAGCCGGATCTGATGTGTAAGCCACACATGCTAGTCCCCTTACAGTAGCATGTCATCAGTGCCGGTGATGGTTTCAGGAAAGCCCTCGTGGTCACCGGGGTTGTTCACTGAATATACTCTCTGTCCTTCGGCTCCTCTTCGTGGTTGATAGGTGAGACCTCTGCGAGCATGAAGTTCGACTTTCGACAGTTGGCCTGCTCACTTTTGGGCTCTTCGCTCTTTCGATTGCTGCTGCTGGAGTGTCCATCGCCGTATGGCTCGGAGCACGATGTCGCCAAGTCAGTCGCTATCGTTGGCGGTGGGAGCGCCGGTCTCGCCATGTTGAAAAACCTGTTGGATCTGCCACTCGAGACACGTGCGGACTGGGATATAGTTCTGTACGAGCAACGAAAGGATATCGGAGGAATATGGTGCGGTCTGGTCTTTGCTTGTTACCCTCCCCCCCTTCCTTTCACTAAATTCGATGCATTCGCACATTGGTAGGTTGCCGGATCCATCGCCCGCTTCTCCGCCTGAGCTACCTGAAACACCACTGTATCCTCGGCTACACACTAATACTCCCGTCCCTGTCATGACTTATCCTGGCTTTCCCTACCCGCCCGGCACGCCCCTCTACCCCTCGCACGAATACATAGAACAGTATCACCGGGATTACGCGACTCACTATGATCTCTGGCCATACATCAAACTAAACCACACCATGCGATCCGCTTCGTGGACAGGAACGTTGGAGGCCGGACATTGGGACGTCGTCGTTCAAGACCATAACGGTGACCGGGTACAAAGATCATTCGATCATCTCGTCGTTGCGAGTGGGCATAATCATGAGCCGCATATAGTGGCATTTGCTGGACAAGAAACGTGGTTGGAGAAGGCTAAGTATGGCTTGCGACGTGAAATCCTGCATTCGATATGGTACCGCGACCCTAGTTTATATGTTAATCGGACTGCCGTAGTGGTCGGTGGAGGAGCGAGTGGAGTCGACATTGCATCGCAGGTGTCGCAATACGCTCGCAAGGCGAGTCCCGCTTGTGATAGTTCGTCAACTAATGTTTATTTTATTTTATTTTATTCCCTGGTGTAGGTTTACCTTTCTGTTCGCGGTGCGGCAGAGGAACCGCCAACCGGACCCGTAGTGATAAAGCCCGAAATTTCACACTTCACGTCGGATGACGTTGTGTTTGCAGACGGATCGATAGCACAGGGTGTTGATATGATCCTACTGGGCACAGGCTATGAATTACGCGTGCCATTCCTAGAAGAAGGCGGGGAAGTGGTCGTGAAACCAGGCTCTAACGAAACAGACGAGAACAAGCTCACCACCAACTTGCGTTATGTATTTCCGCTGCATAGACATATATTTTCGCTGGCGGCGTCTCACCCAACCAACGCGCTGGCTTTCATCGGCCTCCTGACATTGGCCTTAAGCTGCCCCTCGGATACGGCGCAGAGTATCTATGCCACCTCGATCATTGCAAATAGCAGCCTGCTCCCACCTCGCGCTGAATTGCTAAGGGAGCTTGCAGACAGCGAGGAAGACCTTCGAAGGAGAGGGTATGATCCTTATTACGTCGGGCATAAGATGGTCGACAATTCCACATTCGATTATCAAGATGATCTTATCAAAACCCTACGGTTGAGGGAAGGATCGTCGGAGCAGAATACTCACTTTGTCGAGGCCTGGAGAAGAAAATTTGTCGATTACATTGGGAGCCTGAAGCGCGGTTGGAAAAGGATAGAGGCCCTTGGACAAGCGCAGGAGTGGCTAGAAGGGGTCGAGAGCGAAGAGGAATGGGCTGATCTTATGGCACGAGTCAATGACTGGCAGAAAGACTGGGAGAGTGACCATCAGCTACTTGCATAGTATTTACAAATGACATGGTTGTAATATACCGATCACATGACTACATATCTAATCTTCTACCATCCGCTTCGAAAACGGATAAAAAGTTGTGATGAGAGTGGGATTCGAACCCACGCCCTTTCGGACCAGATACCCTGTGGTCATCATATGACCTAGTCCTTAGTCTGGCGCCTTAGACCGCTCGGCCATCTCACCATGCTGTTAATGGGTGGGGGACAATGATCAGTCCTCCGGTGGGGGGTGGTATTCCCCTTTTGTGTTTCTCTTCTGGTTTACTGTGCTCAATGAGAGGCTGTGAGAGAGCCACATAACATAACCGCAGACGATGTGTGTGGGGCAGTTCAACATTCCCTCGGATCCGGGTGTTGCTCTCCGGCGATTATCGCCCTCCTCCCTGTATAATAAGAGACGGGCAGAATACCCCACATAGTATCACACCATTCCCCATCCTGTGTCCGAGCACTCAGCTCCTCTTGCTGCACGACCAGTATGAAGTTGTCGCACATATTTCTCACTCCAAAGAATATAAAGATGCCAGGGGAAAAGGCAATCAAGCCACGGCCAACTAGAGATTTGTGCGTTCAGGCCATCCTGAGGACTAGAGGCATGTTCTGACACGTCGCGTTCAGCACAGGGTTCATTCCCTCCCCATGGCGCAACCGTCTATCGGACATAAGGAAAGCGCTCGAAGACCCCCAACGACAGGGGGCCATTCGCTTAGAATCCTGATGCACAACTACGAGCCAACGTGGGACATTCGGCGGAACCACTATCGCACACGACCTCTATGACCATTATGAACTTATGCTTATATGCTGTTGCAATGATTGAGTGTATGTGTGCAGATTAAATCCTGTAGCTTAGTGTCAGAGTGTCCAGATGTAATGTCAATGGGAGCAGTACAGTTATGGTTGAAAGCCTACGATTTGACCTTCTCCATCAAGATTTGCTTCTCCACTGCACGTTTCCCTGCGATCTCTGCGTTAATCCCTTCGATTTCCATTCTCGTGATCATCCTCCGTCTAGCAAAGGCCTGCAATATCTTGTCCCTCCGCAGATGACCCGTGAAACGCCAACCTTTGCTACCCGACTGCGTCGTACGCACAAGCTCGTACCTTCGCCAACGAACGAGAGCTTTGAGAGTAAACTTCTCCAACCATGCCTCACGTTCTCTTCTCGCAACTTTGTCCATGTCCTCCATATCTAGCGGGTAATAAAATGGATCGACGAGACCGACGACAGCACGCTTGTATGTTCGATATCTTCTGACAGGCCGCAGGCCCATGCGCGTGCGCCGCAGAGGGGAGATGTAATTGGCCGTACGTATGTACGTAGTCTTTACGCCGTATACCGCAGAGAGGTACGGGCGGATGTCGGTTTTGGTGATAGACTGGGGAACGCGGAACGTTGCTTCGTATGGGTTATACGGCTTCCCTTTCGGCGTGTGATTCCGGGCCGCACGAAACATAACATTCGGAAGACAAATCTTTTGACCGACGATCACCTGCTTTTGGCTGCCCCTGCTGGCGAGTTTGATACCGCGCTGGCGCGAACGCTTCTAGTCCAGTGCAGCCGGTCACTCCCCTTTGGTAAAATCCCTCCCTTGCTCTGCCATAAGCTCACCCTTGGCAAGCTGCCGTCTATAACTAGAGAACTCTGGTGGAGTGAGGTCGCTGTCAGGTGGAGGTAGAACGTCGGGTTGCACGCGAGAGCGACGCTCGAGAACGGTCATTGGGGTCGACGCCTCCCTTGCTTCCGCTGCATGCCTTGCTAGTGCAGTTGCACCCCTCTGAGTGGGCGGTCGAGGCGGCTTCGTCGAGTACGGCCGTCGTACGACGCGTCTGAGCGAACGGTATCGGTGACAGTCACGTGGCACCCGGCATTCCACGTGATCCGGGCACACAGGCACTTGAAATATATTAACACTCTTGACATTTGCAGATGACAACTCATATCTGAAGCACAAGAACAACAACATTCTCTTTTCCATTGAAATCCGTCCCAAATCAGGTGTATTACATCTCGTAATATCATTGTCACGTCCGACAAGAAGACTCGCCACAGCGAGGAACCCCAGCCAGTGCGTATTGGCTACATCCTACCAACATCGCGATTGTCACCGATGTTTTGAATTTATATTGACGAGAAACATACTTGTTGCTAAATTACTGGCGTGGCCGAGAGGTACCCGACTGGATGTCGATAGTGGAGGTGTGTCCAGCTGTACTCGACCACTTGGCTTGCTCTGCTATGTGAGCAGCAGCCCACAAACTATGTTTCGATGGGCCCTGTCCAGCAGCTAACATGATCCTAAAAGAAAGCACACACTCAGTAACTCATGGCGTTGCCATGGGTCAGTGATATCGCGCACCGTCGCAGGAGGGCTTGATCATCTTCTGGGTCCGTACACGTTGTAGACTCCATAAGCGAACACATATTCAGCAAACCCTGCTGATGGCGATTACAATGACGCTCCAGCGTGCGATGCCACAAACCTCTATGATTCCTTCTCTCCGGGAATAATCCACAACCTGAACCATGACAAATGACACCTAAGGAGACGGAAGAATTGGGTTACCTTTGCTAACAGTTCGTCTACTTCTACGCGAGTCCCACACCAAAAGAGCCACAGGATCTATTAGTGAATGGACCATCCTGAGCGTCAAGAGGTAACAAGTGGATACTGTCCTCGCCTTTCCTGTTATCTCTTCGTCCAGTGCTCGTTGTTCGCCTTCGTTCTGTGTTGCATTGAGTTTCACCTGGAGTGCCTTTATGTCTTGAATTATGGGAAGAATGTAGTGATGTCTACATGCAGTATTCAGGACATGGCTGCCGAAGATCAGTAGATAGGTATAGCACTGACCTTAAATGCTTCGGGAGGTTCCGTAGAGACTTCCCTGTGCTACCAGGATACAATGAATCACAGGTCAAGGAAATAATCTGAGACCAAGTACTCACGACAATAGGCGGACATTGCTCGTTATGTGTTTAAGTAACTTTTTGTGTCAGAGTTAGCCCCTACTCATCTTTGCTGATAGCAACACTTACATCCCTTCCCAGAGTCTTCAATATAGACTTGATCTCGCCCTCCACTATTTTTCTCTCATCAGCAGACTGATCCGGCGCATGATGGCTTGAATCAAGAGTTTGGCACCGTCTGTGCAACAGAGGTAATACGGGTTCAAGGCGTGGATCCGACTCTGCGGCGGTGAATTGTTGGCCACCCTTCAGCAGGTCGGCATCTCATTACTGAATTGGAGCACAACAACTTAAGTGGACGTACTCGTAAACCATCCTCTAAAGCTGCAATATCAGTTTTCAGACGAACAACGTGACAGACCAACCTTCCGTAGCACCTCCAGGAGGTACATCACTGACTGAACTAGTTTCCATGATCGGGAAGAACCTCGCGAAGAACGCTATGTCGCCAATCTATGCTCAATAAAAAGATGTGAGTAAGATGATGTATTGAGAAGGCGACTACACACGTAATTCTTCAGGTGCTTGAGGCCGAACAAGTCTGAAAAGAACTCAATCGCTATATTTCTCTCCTGTCTCTTCTGTCACCACTGTAAGGGAATGTTCGCGTTCCTCACATAATTGTTTGACGCACAACAGAGTTGTGAGATGGTTGAGTTCCCGCGGGTTGATGCTGCAGATAGTGTGGTCAGTAGTGTAGATGAGCCCCGAAGGTAGCAAAGCGACGTACCATATCCATGAGTATGTAAAAGTTCCTCCTAGGTCCCCAAACAAAGGATCAGTAAAGCAATACCACATGGAGCAACCCCATGGGCTTACCGAATGCTTTTGAATCGTTTCTTCGTTTGTTTACAAGGCGGATCTATACTCCAAACGTGCGGGTATGAGATGGTGCAAAGCGGAGTAAAGACCCCCGTTCCTGTGGAGTAATTGCCGCTGTTCGGTGCCGAGTCTAATGAAGTCCAAAGGTGAGCAGTGTACAATCATTTGCAGACGACTCACAATCGCCCGAGTTCCATTGTTTACCGTCCTTATCAACCGCATAGAAATCTAAGCATTGTATGACAGTCGTCACCAGGTATTTTCCTGCAAGACGGGTAGACAAGGCTTTCAATAGCTGCGACACGTGTTTGTTGACAGGAAGTGAGATGGCCTTAGGTTGACGCAGTGCCAGGTATTTTGTTCTTTTAGATTTACGTTCCGCAGCGAGAACATCCTGATTTTTCACACAATCCATTTGCCTTCCGCGATCTGAACCAGATACGCTGTGGGCCGCGTGACGATAAGCGTCGTCGAGATGAATGCCAGCGGCTCTCATATCCTCAAATATATTTCCAGTGTACACAAGTTTGCCACGGGAGTAGTCACCATAATCGCCCAACTGTCATTGTGAGGTGCAAGGCGAACGTAAAGATGCGGTGCGTGACTCACTGCAAACTGTTGACCAAAACACTTGCTAAGTTTAACCGGCCACCCATCCAACTTCAGCAAGTAAGAACCAGAGACCGTGGCCATAAGCTTCGGCTCGGCGACGCCAGTCTGGTCATTTCAAAGTAACGCAAACGGTTAGCGCTGCATAGACACGGGAAAAAAAGTACTAACAGACGGAACCACCCGTCCGCGTGACACATCACAACCACCAGGACATTGCACGACGTCGACCATAACCTTGAAGCCGCCGGCCCGCTGCCTACCCCAAACTACCCTTGCAGCCCAGATTGATCGAGGAAGGTGGGCACGCTTGATGAAGAGTTTGTTGCGGCATACATCATGTTTGGGCATAATCTGAGCATGTTTGACACGTGCTTTCAACATTTCATCGTATACTTGCCGGCCAAACTTCGACAAATTTTCTTCCTTTCGGATGAGGAAATCTCCGTCATCGACAACGTGCACCCATTCTCGGCCAAGGGAATATCCGAGGCCAATTGCAAAGCGTCGTCTGGCATCGTGGTTGGCGTAGACTATCACAATGAGATCATCGGCGAAGACAAGAGATAAGGGTGTGACGGTATTGCCAGTGAATTCGCTTGGGTAGGTGTCACCCCGGATGAACCCATGGTATGAGACCAACTCGTCGTCGAGTACAATGTTATGGCGCCTTTCGTTGGAGTCCTGATGATGAATGAGGTGGAGCGTCCTGAAATCCGGATACGTTGCAGGTAACGGAGGGTCGATCATTGAAGTCCTGGCAAAGCTGCCCCCAGAGGATACCAAACCAATGGTAACCAGATCCCCATTATGAATACACGCCAATATGGCCCTCAAATGAGACGGAGAGCTGCAAGAGGGGACGATGGGCAGGAACACTTGGATACCTGCACTGCTGACTGTGAATATGTGAAATTGATGGGAGTCCAATGCACCATGCCACGCCGCGAGTTTTTGCTGACGTTGTCCCCACCTGTAATAGGTGTTATTGTACTTCCTTTTCAGAGCATCGACAAACTCGTCGGGTTCCAGCTTCTTGATCTTGTCACAACCCCGAAAGTCGCTTGGATCCTCTGCCAGGGCACTGCCCGTCTGCGACATCCGTGGCTTCCATGCGAATATACTGTGATCGCTGGATACGCGAATGATTTCCAGTTGTAGCCTCTGGAACGCTTTCTTGCCTTCGCCATACAACATCGGCATGTTCACTCCAAGCAAGCCCATCAGCGAGTACGCCCGATCTTCTACACGTGTAGTCTTCCGGTCGGCGGCCCACGACATGATTTGTGCGACACTGAGACGCTCCGCAGCCAGGCCATTCGTCAAAACATCGCACGGAATTCCCGTAATTTCCTCCAACTCCCATGCAGAGCTCTGCTTGTCGCCAATACGCACCCAGTTCTTGTTGAAAAATTCGACTTGCTTCGGCGCAATGAGTTCCTGCAGTGTCCAACCTCGCATAAACCACTCCGGCCAACCGTTGGACTTGTCAAACTTGTCGTCATCTCTTTTAATAGGGAGGGTCGACTCGCCAACGTCGTTAAGACACGCATAGCACACCTGTGCATTTTGGTACCACCGATACATCGAGTTAATGGCTTCCGACAGTTCCGAGCTGCTTCGCTTGTCGATGCAGCAGGTATCGATCCACAACCACTTGTAGCCATCCTTCTTGGCTTGCTCGCAGCTCTTGATGATCTTTTGATAGCCGTGGCGTTGCTTGATCTCTTCCCGCTCTTCCTCCTCCACCGTCATGAACCCGATCATCTCTTCGTAAGTAACCTCCGCTCCCCAGCGATGCGACAGTATGGCATAACTTGTGGTCGTGTCATCAAGTTCTTTCATGACTTGAGATTTGCTTCTGGCTGGGTGGGGGCCTTTGTCTCTTTTGAGCACGACTTCGACATCGAGTAACTTCATCTTTAACGAGTCAATGCAGAGTTCAGCCCGGCAGCGTGTTATCGTACATACTCTCCGAGTGTCCTAGCCTACAGGGTATCCTTTCACGCGGTGAATTTCGAGTATCGGACGAAAGGAAAACGGAAGACCGATGTTCGTTGCTCGTTGAGGTCTTGCCCTAAGGGAGGGAGATGAGTACTGAGTGTTGAGTGTGAGCACCACTTGTGAGGTTATTCGGCGGCTATGCGAAACCGTAGACATTTCAGGGCGGGCAAACGCCAATGGCACGTGTACTTAGTGCACTGACTTACGCATCATAATGGTAAGGCAGCAAACCGTTCCGGGATATCCGCCTTGATCACTCATTCCCTCCGCAGTCGCAGCTATATTGGTCTGTACGTGGACTCAACCGCGTGCCTGTAAGGGCAAAACTACGCAGACATCGCTGTGGCGCCAGACCGTAGTCAGGCACATGTCATAGAATATTGGCACACGCCTGCCGTCATGCGGTACTGGGCGAAGGTCCAATCCTCAGACCGACGATGTATAGTTGTGCTGTAGGAGGAGCAGCGGTCCAATTGCATGTAGTAATCTCATTTGTGGGCGTCCCACTGACATCCGTAGTAACTAGGCTGTCGCTGTACGGCAAATCCGAATTTGAGTAGCCTATCATCGTCAGCGAAGCCGCTGAGGGTGACTAGAAGGGGTTAAGACACGAGAGCGAAGAAGAATGGGTTGATCTTACGAGACAGGTCAAGCCTGGCAGAATGATCGGGAGACTGAACATCAGCTCGTGTTTCCGAATGACATGCTTGTATACTAGTTGCATGACTACATACATATCTAATCTTCTGCCATCCAAATCCAAAATGGTAAAAGGTGTGATGAGAGTGGGATTCGAACCCACGCCCTTCCGGATCCTGATCGTCAAGTCCGTAGACGATAGGTGCCTTACCACTCAGCCATCTCACCACACATTGTTATTGGTGGGAGACGGAATCGAGTCCTCCAGTAGGGGTTGATGGATCTACAAGTATAATCAATATAATCTACAAGTATATCAATATATCAATATATCAATATCAATCAATCAATCAATCAATCAATAAGTATAACGCCCGTGGGTCGTGCGAGAGCGTGAATCCCCGATTCTCGACGCGTAGTTCGACTATTTCGCGTAGCTCGCTCCCCTCGCTATTCTCGCTATTTTCGCAATTCTCGCAATTCTCGCTATTGTCGGCAGTCTCGCTTTTTTCGCTCCTCTCGACAAAAGCCACGTGTATTGCCTTTTTAGAACAGGAAAAACCACGTGGCATTTCAAACTCAACCGTCGTCCGTTCATAAGGCCAGGCAAGTACACGTGACCGTGGGAATAGCTTGAAACGGCGATGGTGCGCGCTCTTCAGCAAGCTCCGCAGGCCTCTTCGAGGCTATGGACCATGCTGCAACACTGCTGGAGGGGCGGAAGAGCTCCATTCACATTTTTCCAGCATGAATCTACTATACTCTACCTAAAGAAGAGAGTGGTAGAATGGGGAATGAGCTGTGCAAGACAGAAACCACTGATAGGCTATGTATGTATTTGTGGTGTGACTTGATGCTGAGTGAGTGGGGGTAACTGAGGATCTAAGTGCAGAGGTGGTGCTTCTTGAGGGAGAAGATGTTGAGGGCACTCTGGCAGGTGTGACAGTGTCAGGGGCAAGTCCTATAGAGCCAGAGCCATCCTGTGACATTGTGTGAGGGGTGGATGAACCAATCATGATCAAACTCAACAGTGGTCTGATCAATAGATCATCAGCTCTGGTGGGCAAACTATACTGCAGGGGGATGGGGGAGGCCAGCAAATACACTCCATGCTGGGGGGGAGGAGGCAGCCTGTGAATGTACTCCATGCCAAGGGGGAAGGGGATAGGGCAGCCAGCAAACCCACACCATGTCAAGAGGGAGGAAGGGTGATGACAGCCAGTGAACTGACTCCATGCCAAGGGAGGGCAGGGGGGCAGAGCAGCCAGTGCACCCCCTGCATACCAAGGGGGAGGAGGGTGCTGACTGGCAGTGAACCCACTCTGTGGCAGGGGTGGGGGCAGCCAGTGAATCCACTCCATACTGGGGGTTGGATTGAGGGTGCAAAGCAGCCCCTTCCTGGGTAGTCACAAGGGTGAGTTTAAGCTCTCAGCTGGTGAATGGAGAATGGACTTTCAGCCAGCAGTGGTCAGCCAGTGAAGGGATTCACAGTGAATGGAAGACAGACAGCCAGTGAGTGCACTCCATACCAGCAGGGGTGACTAACATGAAGACAAGGAATGTAGTATGGACTGAGGTATGTAGACATCTGGAGATTTGATATGTAACTGTAGAATTGTACCAGTAGATGGGATTTTGAAGCCATGTGGATAAGTGGATTTGAACAGTTTACCAGCCACAGATGGTAACAAGTTGTGGAGTTTTACTGGAATAACCTGTCCCCCCCAGCATGGAGTGGATTGACTGTTTACCATCCAGAGATCTCTGATGTAGCCTGTCCCCCTCCAGCATGGAGTGAATTGACTGGCATGGCCCACCCCCCTGGCATGGAGAGGATTCACTGGCATTGCCAGTGAATCCACTCCATGGCAGGGGGTGGGCCTATGCCAGTCAATTCACTCCATGCTGGCACATGTTACAAACACAACCTGGACTGTTTACTAGCCAGGGATCTCTGATGTAGCCTGTCCCCCCCCAGCATGGAGTGAATTGACTGGCTTGGCCCACCCCCCTGGCACATGTCACTTAGTCGGATTAAGGCTGCGAAGCAGCCACAACCCGGGTGTAGCTAGTCAATAAGTATAACGGCCGTGGGTCGTGCGAAAAGCGTGAATCCCCGATTCTCGACGTGTAGTTCGACTATTTTGCGTAGCTCGCTCCCCTCGCTATTCTCGCTACTTTCGCAATTCTCGCAATTCTCGCTATTGTTGGCAGTCTCGCTTTTTTCGCTCCTCTCGGCAAAAGCCACGTGAGTTTCCTTTTTTGAACAACAAAAGCCATGTGGCGTCGCGTGTCCCGCAATCGGTGCTGGCAGTCAGCAAGTGTCCTTCCCCCTCCCTCCCCAGCTCCCTCCCCAGCCTCCCTCCACTCCAGTTGCATACCAGCTGGTCCAACCACTGTCAAACAACTATCACACTGAAAACATTGTGTCATCTGTGAGTGTCTGCTCTGATCTGGGCTGCAGATCAGCCTGATAAGAGATCTCATCCACTGATAAGGCCCATAGTTCGCATTTTTGACTGTTTTCTGACAGTCCTTTGGCTGCTGGTAAGCCCATGGCCCTTTGATAATGCTCAGGAGGGGCACTGATTGCATACCCTGGCCATCTGGACCTGGATTTCCTCCATTTTTTAGATTTTTGTTCGCATTTTTCGCATTTTTGCCCCCTTTACTGCTCACATTCTCTGGCCAGGCTTCCTGGTAAGTCATCTATATACCTGCCAATGGTCAATCTCATCCATTTCTGACACTTTTTCATATGTATTTCCCATCACTCTGGCACATTTCTTAGGTTTTTGTTCGCATTTTTCGCATTTTTGACCCCTTTACTGGTCACATTCTCTGGCCAGGCTTCCTGGTAAGTCATCTATACTTGCCAATGATCAATCCCATTCATTTCTGATATTTTTTCATATGTATTTCTCATCACTCTGGTATATTTCCTAGGTTTTTGTTCACATTTTTCGCATTTTTCACCCCTTTACTGGTCACATTCTCTGGCCAGGCTTCCTGGTAAGTCATCTATAACTGCCAACAATCAATCCCAACCATTTCTGGTATTTTTTTCATATGCATTTCTCATCACTCTGGTAAATTTCCTAGGTTTCTGTTTGCATTTTTCGCATTTTTGACCCCTTCCTTGGTCACATATCTGGCCTGGGTGCCTGGTAAGTCATCTACTACCTGCTAATGATCAGTCTCATCCATTTATGACACCTCTTGATATATGTATTTCTGGTGCATTCCTTAGATTTTTGTTCGCATTTTTGGCTTTTTGAGAAATTGTTGGTTATCTTTCTTCAGTGTGCCTTGGTAAGCCTTTCCCCACTCATCATTGATGCCCTTTCTCCTATTTTCTCTCATCACTTTAGTTTTTTTTATACCCATCTTTTGGGTTATTGGCAGATACCTGTGTCCAGGTTGTCAGTGTAAGTTGATGTCACTCTATCTGCAGGTGAACACTCACATGTGTCATGTAGGTCTAGGGTTGGCATTGTTGGGATTTTTGGTTGCCTTTGATACTTGCTTTGTGCTGGTGGTAGAGTGAACACTGTAGACCAAGACAAGGTGGTGTGAAGTCCCTACTACCTGGCTTGGTGGATTCATCTCCACCTGTCTGCTGGTTGCTGAGGCCTCTCTGAGGCTGGGACCTCTCTCATCACCACAGAGTAGAGACGTGTTTGGCGGGGCCTGCAAAGGTCAAGTGGGATCACTCCTGCTTGCAGTTGCCATTCAATCTGTCTTGGGCTTTTTTGCCTTTTGCTCGGTCATTTGTCGAGTTCCAGTCAGTAGGGTCTACCACAGGCACAAGGTGACTTCTCTGTGTATCCTTCATCCCCTTCACTGCCACCCAATCTCTGTATCCAGTCTTTCCAACCATGTAGGTGTTTTGATTTCCAGATATACTGCTTCAATATCCCTGATGATGATGCATGTGTCCATCAGGTCCACCCCCCCTACTTCACCACAGCATGCCCACAATGCTGGTTGTCAGGCTGAGCGTGATCAGCATGTCCTTGGCTCTCCTCCATCCCGTCGTCAACCACATCATCCTGTTCCTCCTTTGATTGTAAGTTGTACCCATGCTTGCCATATATGTGAGATTGATGTATATAATGTCAGGCTCATGCTCCTGCACCACTCCCTCCCCAACAACCACTGCTTCCCCCTGCCCCTCTACCACCCCAGATGATGCCCTTCCCTCCTCCATATTATCAAAATTTCATTCATCCTGCTCCACCTCCTCAGAACCTTCCAGAGCGTGTTGACTATACTGCTCGGCTGTTGGAGGGGTACAATAATGACCATGAGAGGCGTCGTCAGTGCAGGCACAACCAGAGAACCAACAATCCTCCTACCCCCCCTCCAGCTCATCCTGGCCCATCCCATGCTCCCCCTCCACCCAACTACCATACATACCAGCAGGTCAGCAACCTGCAACATGAGGCAGAGCAGTGGAGATATCAGCAAGCTCAGCAGCAGCATGCTCAACATCTTCAGGCTATGCAAGTGCAGCAGTTGCAGGAGTGGCAACATTTGCAATCCATGGGAGTACAGCAGCAGCAGCAGCAAGGACAAGAGTGGGGAAACTTGCAGGCCATGAGAGTGCAGCAGCAGCAGAGGCAAGGGCAGGGGTGGCAGGACATTCAAGACATGAGAGTGCAGCAGGAGCAGGAGCAGGGACAGGAGTGGCAGCATTTTCAGGCCATGAGAGTACAACAAGGGCAGGAGCAGGGTCAAGAGTGGCAGCACTTTCAAGCCATGAGAGTGCAGCACCAGCAGAGGCAGGAGCAGGAGAGGCAGCACCTACAGTCCATCAGAGTGCAGCAGCAACAGAGGCAGGAACAGGAGTGGCAGCACCTTCAGCACATCAGGATGCTACACCAGCAGCAGCACCAGGAGCATCAGAGGTTACAACTGCAACAATTGCAGAGGGTGGAGCTTGAACGTCAACATCATCTAGAGGTAGAGCAGCAGGCAGTATATCAGCAGGTAGAGGAGAGGGAGCATCAGGAGCAGAATGAAATAGAGCAAATCAGGCAGCTATCTCAAAGGTTGCTGACAGAGGCCCTCAGTGAACATAGTCAGCATTCTGCAGAGCAGTATGAGCAGGACCAGGAGAGACAGGCATCAAGAAATGCCCTTGGCCATTCCCCTCCTCCCAGTTCTTCTACCAGTCCTGCTTCCTCTCCCCCAAGACATCCTTCTCCTCCACCTCCACCTCCACC